CGGGGGAAAATTAGTGAATCGTTTCAACTCCGATTTCGCGCGTTTTTTTTCATCGCGTTATTTTTCAACTTTATAAGTTGAATTTGCATTCTTGATGATTTGTTTCGGTAAGTCCATACCGAAAGGTATCAGAATCTGCAAAGTTGTGTTTTACGTTGCATGTGACCTTTAAGCTTTCCCATTTACCACAGACCTCGGGTAAAACATCAGTTTTTGTCAATTTGCCATAAAACATTCTACAACCTTTGGAAGCTACAAGAAGAGAATGTACGGCATCATTGATCACTAGATTTTGGTTTACGAATTTATGATGACTAACAGCATCTCTCCAGGACACTGGAAAAAAATTATCACCCTGTTATAGTCTAAGAATGTTCCCCTAACTGGATATATGTTCTTGAAATCATCAAACGACAATAGACCATTAGATTTACAGAGGTTCTCTATGTCTGTGATTCCATTTAATTATCAAACCAATCTTTTATAAATTTGGATGGATCCGAAAGCTGATGATTGAACCAGAGCGGTTCCGCAAGTATTTTGGAAATGTCATTCTGATCAGTTATAAAAAGTCCTCTATATCTCTTCCATGCTTGCAGGGCATCCTTCCAAAATGGATTGTCCACATTACAATATTGGTCTATATTAGCCCCAATACTCGCAATTTGTCCGATGGGAACATTACATGGGTTGTTATAACTTACATTCTTAAAACATCTCTTTATGGCGGAAATTTTTAATGCATCAATAAAGGACTTTATATCAATCATTCTAATTCCTCCATCCCCATAATCCTTTTTTAAATTTACTCTTTTTATCTTATCCGGTTTACCATTCCAAATAAATGAAAAAACCAGCTTCTCAATATCATCGATAAAACGTTTTGGAGGATTAGGGAGAGATGTAAAAATATGAACTAGAGTAGATACAGCCAAAGTTTTTATAACAGTAATCTTCCCAAGAATGGTTAAGTTCTTTTCCTCCAATTTCCAAGAATGTTTGAAATAGCTTTTAGTCTCTTCCTTGTGTTAATAACCCACAAATTACTCAAGGTAGCATTTAAGATTATCCCTAAGGCCTCAAAATTACCTGTATGCCAATCTAAACCATACTCACAGCATATTGTATCCTGGCTGTTTGCCATAGCTCCAATCCATAAAGCTTTTGTTTTGTCAATGTTAATTTTTAATCCCGACATCTTAAAAAATAAAGTGAGGGTGTCCATAGCAGCCTTTAGGCTGATTTCAGAGCCATCTAAGAGGAGCTGGGTGTCATCTGCATATTGGCCTAGCTTATATTCCTTGCCATTCAAAATAATACCCTTAATATCTACATTTGCATGGTGAGATAGGGTCCCCTGCCTGCAGCCTCTGTTTTGGAAAGAATCATGATACCCAAGATCTCTGCGACAAACAAAAACAGGTATGGTGAGATAGGGTCCCCGACAAGCATGCCCTGCAGCCTCACGGGTGTTGTTTGGAAAGAATTCGGATAGATGTCCATTTTGTATAATACAGGAGGTAGCATTTTTAGTGAGAATTGAGATCCATCTCATGATATATGGGCCAAATCCAAGTTTTTGTAACACCTTAAATGTTGACTTCTTGTTATTAGTTTAATGGTATGGTCTCTGGTTTCATTGGTGGGTCAAAGGTCGCGTAAGGTCACTCTGACGTGACCTGTAACGGGAAGTCCTCAGATCATCATGTTTATGGTGATAATTACAACATATTTTGTAACATAAAATGTCAGAGCATGATTACGGTTTCGGGAATGCCAAGACGAGAATATGTTTTAATACGAGAATGTACAATCAGGGTTAACGCCAGACGTAGGGCATGTTTATTCGTGATACTATATCTGATTCAGTCTGACAAGAATCAAACTGAATCCACTCCTAAAAGGTTATTTGTTAGAAACATATTGTGTTTATAAACTGAAGGCCGAAAAAAAGAGTGAGTGAGTATGGTTTTATACCGCTTTTAGCAATATTCCAGCAATATCACAACGGGGGACACCAGAAATGGGCTTCACACATTGTACCCATGTGGAGAATCGAACCTGGGTCATAGGCGTAACGAGCAAATGCTTTAACCAGGCTACCCCATCGCCCCTCCAAAAGAATGAACACCTAGCTCTTTTATGTAAATGAAAATTGAATGAACCGTTGGAAAATTTCTTTATCTATTTAACCATCACTCAATCTTGGAACACTTTGTAAAAGTAATGTTGGCTTTGGTGAATTTGTGTATTTAGTGGATACTGGGATAAAACATGAAGAGGCAACCGCATAACCCCGACCATGTTTGAAACGCAAATTTATTTTGAAAAGTGAAATTTATCAATATTCAAAAGTTGGATGTCCAAGGTACCTATCAGCAGTTGTGTATTATGTAATCGGTGTCTATTTAATATTAATTAGACGTTTTCAACTAAGTTATAAGTTTTAATAATAATACATGTAATTTCATATACTGCAAATAATATTAGATGATAAATAATATACACGTATAGTTATCACAGTTAAAACATAGGAACTTATATTAAAACACATTCTCTCATCTCACACATTCAGTGAAGGGGATAGTAAAGATAAGAATATATTAGTGATATTTATTTATGTTTATACCTTAGGCTTGAAAAGCTAGCATAAATACATTCAGCACACTTACATGCTATACAATATAATACCTCTTTAAATGTTAGTAAATAGATATACGTTTATTATATACATACTGCAAGGATTAAATGCAATATTACTTTAATTAAATGAATACTAACCTTAATGTCACACTGTGTCTGTCCAAGCTGTCTTTACATGGCAGAGAGTCAGTGCAGAATGAGTGAAATTGTGCATGGAGTTAGTGAGACCAATCAGCCGAGAAGCGTCATGGCTTGGGCAATTAGTGAGACAGGCCAAGCTCTAAAGCTTAAACCTTAAACTGCCTAGAAATAACATAGCTAAAAGGAGAGAATAATAATATGATTAAAATACTATATTTACACTAAAATACACCTGCCACATTCATATAACATGAGTACAGTTAATTTTGTATGACACAATATATAGATTATATGATATTTATTAACAAAGTCATAGCTCTATATGTGATGAAAACAGCTGAGAGGTATATTTTCTTTTGTCGCTTGGTATGGACTGAAGTCACTATTGCATGAACGACTTGTGTTTCCTAAGGTTAATGTTTTACATTTGTGTCAACTGTGTCAGGTTCCGGTGGTCCAGTATGTAACACGGTTATGTCCCTTTATCTGGTTGATCCATACCCGTGTTCCTGGTTTTCACCAACGTCTCAAACGTCTACTTCACGTATCACGTCCTCTCACGCAAATCCATGTACCGTTATCTATCTAAACTACATTTCAAAGGCGATTAAGTCAACTCACTCATTCAATTTTATTCGCTTCCGGAATTCACTTTTTAAAGGAGATCACATTTCTGTAGTCATGTCGCTTGTCCTCACCCTGGTACGGTTTAACATTAAATCAGTGCAAGAAGTGCCGTAAAATATCCACCGACAGATTCGAGCGGCTATAAAATAGAGAGACAGAGATCGAGAGTAGCAGTAGCAATGTGTATTGTTGTCCCCTCTCACACTCATACTCTCTCTCTCTTCTCTCTCTCACACACACACACACACACACACCAGCCATATAATTTGAGCGGTCTCTAAGCTGACGACAAAGTGGCGGTAAGCCAACTCACTCGCTAATTCATAGGATGAATGCCATTTAAGTAGAGGTGAAATGTAACATTGTTAAATTTGCGATTACTCTTTCTCAGTATTGGACAGATTCTAGTTCTTTTGTTAGATTGAGTCCCACTCTTTTGTGGAAACTTTATGTGCTGTCGATAAGGTGCCTGACTCTTGAAAGCGTTGGTTCGTATATGGCGCCCGTCTCTAATTCTCAAAACCACCGATCATACACCTTGGTTAACACGTGTTTAAATGGTTGTTTACTGTTTCTTAACCTGGACATGTATCGTTATTGGCGGCTAATTCTCTTCAGTTCATTCCTCTCTATGAGACGGCCTCTATGGTCTAGAGTCACTGGAAGACTGATCGGCTGATAGTCAATAAACGCCTTCCCTGAAACCGAGTGTGTTTCATAATCCTACTAAGAACATTGACTGTACCAGTACAATGCAGTCGGTACCAGTACAATGCAGTCGGTACCAGTACAATGCAGTCTGTACCAGCAGTCGGTACCAGTACAATGCAGTCGGTACCAGTACAATGCAGTCGGTACCAGTACAATGCAATCGGTACCAGTACAATGCAGTCGGTACCAGTACAATGCAATGCAGTCGGTACCAGTACAATGCAATCGGTACCAGTACAATGCAGTCGGTACCAGTACAATGCAGTCGGTACCAGTACAATGCAGTCGGTACCAGTACAATGCAATCGGTACCAGTACAATGCAATCGGTACCAGTACAATGCAGCCGGTACCAGCACAATGCAATCGGTACCAGTACAATGCAGTCGGTACCAGTACAATGCAGTCGGTACCAGTACAATGCAATCGGTACCAGTACAATGCAGTCGGTACCAGTACAATGCAGTCGGTACCAGTACAATGCAGTCGGGAAATCCTCATGAAACCCCCAGGGAGACCATGGGTCTGAAAAGACTCATACTGCTCAAATAAAGCCAGGGATTCGTGTCATGTCAGGGATCTTGTACAGGCAAACGTGTAAAGATGCTTCTGATTATCCTCTCCCTCTCTCTCTCTCTCTCACACACACACACACACACACACAGACAAACACATTCTTACCACGCGCGCGCACACACACACGTTATACTCGTTTGTACGCTGCCATACACACCTCCCTTAAGCATCCTTGTTTGGGGACCCATCTGTCATGACAATTAGACAGATACAACATGTGACTTGGGTAGTAGTGTGTTTAGATGTTACGATTTATTCCTTCGTGGTCTGCAAAATTATTAACCTCAGTGGAATCACATAGATACCGCCCATCCATGCGTCAAGGTCTGAGGGCACCACCATACGAGGTCACAGACTCGATTTAATACTCGGCCAATGAGATTGGCTGCAGCATTGCTCTGCTGCCCTAAATAACACTCAAGCAGACTCCCGCCACAAAGGTTCATTGCATTGCCATTTCTCACTCCCTCCTTTCCTTATTCACCCGTGACAAAGTTCAAAGAATAAACAAACTAATTTTCTTTTATTGATTATATTTTATCATAAATGTATTTGGTGTCTCCTGACTTTTGAGAACTTGTACATTACTCCAACCCGTGAGTTCGGGCACCTGTTATTGGAAAACTTCTTGAACTGTTCATTCTGGGAAGGTTCCCTCTTTGAAGATTTTACTGTTTTGCACTGTTCGGGATGAGAATGTGGTGACGACACAATGTTGGTATGGTTCCCCTGCGCTGCTGAACGACGGGATGCTTCTGTGAAGGAATGATGGGCAGCTTGGTTGTTCAATATTTCCTTCATGACTGATTTGCTGCACACTCTCGGCCTTTCCTTCACTGTGGTCATTTTGAATCTGGAAGTGGTGGGGGCTGATGCTGACCATGCACGAGGAATCACAGAGGCGGAGGAAGAAACCCGTCTTGATTTCACATCCGGGGCAGCGGGAGACATGGTTACTGGAGACTTCTCAACATCAAGATTTTCCTTACCTTTAGTATTAGAGTCTTCAATTTGACCCGGGTTTTTGGTGTCTCTGTACTTAAACTGGCACCGGAAGAGCGCAACGGGAACGCAGACGAGACCTTCCTCATAGTCTTGGGTGTCGTCTGCTCGTCTCTGTCGAGCACAAAACTGGTGCATGTCTGGAGATGCTGTGGAGATTGTCTGGGCGTGACGTCTGGGCCGTGTATTGACATGTACTCCTCCCACGTCAGGTACAGACGTTTGGATTGTTTCAGGTTTTGGGAGCAAGGGGCGGACTTGTTCCTCTTGGCAGACGATAGGTCGGTCGAGCGTCGTCTGCTGTTCACGAGGAGCGTCCGGAACTCGCTTATACTCGGTCCGTGCTCAGTCAGATCGTTCAGCAGGATGCTTCTGTTGCTGTGAACATAATGATAATAATGATGAAAATATGCATCAATGAAAAATATTGATAATACTGTAGATACTTATACTTTAGATTATTCAATGACTCGGCCAAATTGTAGTATTGTATAATAACAACCATATGGTACATACTGATATATTTTGTATTTCATTTTTATAATTTCTGTCAGCAAATTACAGAATGCCGCTTTCAACAATATTTTAATTAGTTTTGTCACTGCGTGTCAGCGTGTTTTGGGAGCCTGAAGTGAAGCAGGCCCGAGACGCTGACCATTCAGACGTTAACGTAAGTTCCTACGTGGTGCTAACAAACCGAAAATCGTAATCAGGACGAATCGTGATTCGAACCAACGATCATAGGTTTCTGGTACGCCAAGGGGACGCAACTCTGTTCCGCAGGTTGTCGCATATTAGGCTGTACACAACAGAACGCATGCATCACAATGACGTCATACACCAGATACAGTTACGTCACCAGACTTTATTCATCACACGTATGTCATCACGGAATGAACATAGTAAATACACGTACGTCATCACAATGTATGCATCAGATTTACACGTACGTCATCACAATGGATGCATCAGATTTACATGTACGTCATCACAATTTATGCATTAAATTTACACGTACGTCATCACAATGCATGCATTAGATTTACACGTACGTCATCACAATGTATGCATTAGATTTACACGTACGTCATCACAATGCATGCATTAGATTTACACGTACGTCATCACAATGCATGCATCAGATTTACACGTACGTCATCACAATGCATGCATTAGATTTACACGTACGTCATCTCACTGTATGCATTAGATTTACACGTACGTCATCACAATGCATGCATTAGATTTACACGTACGTCATCACAATGGATGCATTAGATTTATACGTACGTCATCACAATGCATGCATTAAATTTACACGTACGTCATCACAATGCATGCATTAGATTTTATGCATTACAATGATGCATTGTTTACACGTACGTCATCACAATGCATGCATTAGATTTACACGTACGTCATCACAATGCATGCATTAGATTTACACGTACGTCATCACAATGTATGCATTAGATTTACACGTACGTCATCACAATGCATGCATTAGATTTACAAGTACGTCATCACAATGCATGCATTAGATTTACACGTACGTCATCACAATGCATGCATTAGATTTACACGTACGTCATCACAATGCATGCATTAGATTTACACGTACGTCATCACAATGCATGCATTAGATTTACACGTACGTCATCACAATGCATGCATTAGATTTACACGTACGTCATCACAATGCATGCATTAGATTTACAAGTACGTCATCACAATGCGTGTATCAGATTTACACATCACAAGGTATACATATACACTATCACAGAATGCCCAGCCATAAGGTACATACCATGCATGTAGAACACGGTCCCGCTGTACAATCATTCAATAGCATACATACCTTGTGTCATCGGACGCCACACTTGCTACCTCGATGCCCAGGAGATGAGGGTCCATACCGGTGTGACCTGCATCCCCGACTGTGTGGTAATACCTATACCTCTGCATGTATTTGTCTATATTGTCAAAATGGGTGAACACGTATGAAATGCTTCCGTCACATTGTGACCCTCCCAACTTTTGACCGCTCAGACTGGCCTTCACCTTCTTCTGACCTCTTTCGCTTGGATCACATCGGACCCTATCGTAGACTTCCAGGAAGTTCTGAAGCCTCGGCTCTTCGCCTATACATGCTGGACTGTCCGACGCGGAAAGGAGGGTTTTGGTCGCAGCAGCGGTGGAGAAGCGACAACCGTAGCCGTAGATGTGCTCACAACCTCCGTCCTCGGCCATGCTGTCTGATTGTGACATCATACGTTTGTCACTCTCTGGCGTCAGGGTACCGAAACGAATAGCACAGACCTCATCAAATGACGTCATATTTTTGTGACGTCATTTGAGGCTAATGGCAGCAAAAGAAGGTCCATTGGAATTTTGCGCTTGACTCGTTCTGTAACTTGATCAAACAGATCGGTTTGGAACATACTCCAGAGTAGATCTATCGAACAGTTTTTGAAAATGTTTTCATAAACCAGCACACACAAAAAAGACACGTCTTTGAAGCTGCATAACCCGCTATGGGGGTCACGTCAGCACATCTAGTGATGTAAATTGTGTTGGCCTCAGCAAGTCATTAAGTAAATGACCTTTTCAGTTTCATTACGACGGTTGATGCAATGTTTCCATGACAACCAGGATAATAAGGAGTGTTGGTATTGATATGGCAGCCTCTGGTACGACGTCCAGGTCACCAGCAGAACGCCAGCGTCGACGTGCTACTCTGGGGTAATACGACCCTCCGATCAATGAAACATCTGTAAAGAGAGGCAACTCATTATTAACACTTTGCCACTGGTCATGCTATTACCCAATCAATATATGTAATCTAGTTCCAGGCATTGTTTCAGCAATAAAGTACGAATTCAGGAATTTACACATGACATCAGTTCATCAATGTTATTCATAAAAGCAAATTATCAAGCTGTTTCACGCCGCACTCGACAACTCTTTTTTGCAAATTTGGTAAAACATGGAGTCTGGGCCTGACAACCGAGTGGTTGATGTCATGACCATCGGTCTTCGCAGTTTGGATACAATGACATGTACCAACCAAGTCAACAAACCTGACCTTCCTATCCCATTTGTCGTTAATGAGAGCGGACCGCCTCCGTGGTGTAGTGGTTAGAGCGTCCGCCCGGAGAGCGAAAGGTCGCGGGTTCGATCCCCGACCGCGTCATACCAAAAGACGTTAAAATATGGTACTTGTTGGTCCCTGCCTGGCGCTCGGCATTAATGGGTACATCAAGGACTGGTCGGCTCGGAGTCAATATAATGTGTCTGAGTGGGGTATTCATGCTTCACTGCGGCATGGTATCTCAGTGGGCTAGCACTATAAAACCAGCTTACGTCTGGGCTAGTACAAGCAGCCGCACATACACATGCACACGCATGCACGTCGTCATATGAGCAAAATATTCTCAAGCACGACGTAAAACACAATTTCACTTCACCTCACCTTAATGAGAGCGACGCGCAAATGTTTCAGCGTGTTTCAAGCACGAAACCAGTTCTCTGCCAAACACCGTTATATAGAGGTGTATTCCAATATTCTTCCAAGAGTAAACCTACTGTCCAGCAATAAATATGAGAACCCGTTTATGACACGTCTACTGAGAGGACCGAGTGAATTACAACAGCCGGGTTACGTGTCATTAAACCGTATTACTCACCTCGCACTGATCGGCCCTCTCATATTCAAGTATTTGCGATCAAGGGGGGAATAAATTCAACCTCACAAGCACATATTACGACATTAACAGTCGGTCGATGGTAAATCTGATTATTACATTCCCGAGTCTGGTTTTGACCTCTAAAGATCCGAGACCGAGTTCCAAGGATTTGTCTGATATTCCTTACTAACGTGCCTTAAATGACATGATTCTGTTCAAAAGTCGTATCAATATTGTTTTGGAAAACCGATTCAATGCAATAATTTAAATTATACGCCCTGTAAATGGCCCTGTTTGTCCTGTTATCTGTGAAATCCAAGTAACCTTGACGAAGCCATCTCATAATTTAACATGAAGTAGGAAATTTGGGTGAGATTATATGTCTCTGAACAGGCCCAAATAAATCGCCTTTGTTGTGAATATAACTATTGTGACTACTTGTTGTGTATCTCGTTTTCACAAAACTGATAAGGAAAGGAAACCAAGTGTTAGGTTTCCGAAACTAACGTGATTATACATACTATGAATATCTTCATTGTATTTGAGGTCATTGGATCCCATAAACACATCTGTGTTGGCGAATGCAAAACGGCCGTAAGATGGCTTGTAGTGAGAGCCTATATACTAAACCCGACTGGGGCAAGTACCTTTCAAACTGGAGAATCTTGGCGTTAATAACAATTGGTTGTATGGCCGCTTGAAGATGTGTCAGCTATCAGTAGAAAGTTCGGGGTATCAATCTCACAATACACTTTATCCACCTGCACAAATCACTTCTTGGGAGATATGATTGAATAACAACTGGTTGTATGTCCGCTTAAAGATATGTTGGTTATCAGTAGAAAATTCGGGATATCAACCTCACCGTACACTCTATCCACCTGCACAAAACCACTTCTTGGGAGATATGATTCAATAACAACTGGTTGTATGTCCGCTTGAAGATATGTTAGGTATCATTGCAGTAGAATATCCGGGATATCAGTCTCCAATATACGGAAGGCATCAGTCACAAACACAGGTTGTTTTTGACCGATTATAGAGCTATGTTGGTTGTCACGCGACAATCCGTGACATCAATCCGAATCGTTTCGCGATGTCACACTCCCTTAGGACAACCTCTCACCATACATTCCGATGGGAAGAGACCAGTGCTGACTTGCTCGGCTTTAACTCGTCGTTTGTTTTGGCTGCAGGGTTGAGAAGCCATGCTAACATATCCTGATACAGATAATCCTGTATTTAGCAGTATCGTAATCTGTTCTAAATGGTGAGTATTACACGGATCTAATGGCGGCTTATCCGCTTACAGCAACCATTAGCTTCATAGTTGATGTTCTGGGTATATCGATATTAAGTGGTCAAACTGATAAATGCACACATACAGATGGAGTGAGTGAGTTAGTTTAGTTTTACGCCGCACTCAGCAATATTCCACCTATATGGCGGCGGTCTGTAAATAATCGAGTCTGGACCAGACAATCCAGTGATCAACAACATGAACATCGATCTGCGCAATTGGGGACCGATGACACGTGTCAACCAAGTCAGCGACCCTGACCACCCGATTCCGTTAGTCGCCTCTTACGACAAGCATGGGTTGCTGAAGATCAATATTCTAACCCGGACCTTCACGTGTTAGACTGATGGATGAATAATGAGAGAAAATGGCCTCACTTCATTTTTATTGAGCCGCGGGGCGTTTGTGGTTTAAATGTTCGTCGAAAACCATGGTTCGATTCCCAACATGGATACAATGTGTGCAGCCCGTTTCTGGTGTCCCCCGTTGTGATATTGCGGGAATATTGCTAAAAGTGGCGTAAAACTAAACTCACTGTTGTGCCGAGGAACTCGGATCTGGCACAACTAAGCCTTGGAGTGAGTGAGTTTCGCTCGCATCGCATATAACAATAATTCAGTAATAGCAGGACGTGTTAGGTTAATTTGGGAGTATTTGTCAAATAGATACATGTCACTGACGTTACCACTTATAACACCAAGAGTATAGTTTTGAGAAAACAACGAAAGAGTCAAAATCAAATCCTTTTTGTTAGCAACATTTCAACGTGCTGTTTTCTACTTACAGTTATTAAAACTCGTGCGTGAGTGAGTGAGTATGGTTTTACGCCGCTTTTAGCAATATTCCAGCAATTTCAAGGCGGGGGACACCAGAAATGGGCGCCACACATTGTACCCATGTGGGGAATCGAACGCAGGTCTTCAACGTGACGAGCGAACGCTTTAACCACTAGCCTACACCACCATCCCTGGTGTCAGGACGTTCACATTGTTAGGCGAAGGCGTTAGTATAGTGACATTACTAATGTCGTACCTGTATTACGAAAACCTTGTCTTTGTTTAACGTCAGTAAAACTCCAGATATTATTAACCATAAATTCTTCGTATAAGTATTAGGGGCGGTGGGGTAGCCTGGTGGTTAAAGCGTTCGCTCGTCACCCCCAAGACCCGGGTTCGATTCCCCACATGGGTACAATGTGTGAAGTCCATTTCTGGTGTCTCCCGCAGTGATATTGATGGAATATTGCTAAAAGCGGCGTAAAAACCAACTTACTCACTCACTCGTATAAGTATTTACTCTGAACTACATATATATGGATAATAACGCCATATTAGGTCACACAGACATAAGCAACACGCAATGTGTCATTATCTCTAATGTTACATCACGAACACTCGTTAATATTGTATTATAAACGCCAATGACTAGTTCTGCACAACATGTATGCACGTTAATGTCATAGGAAAATTATTACAACATGATTACATAATCGATATTGTGTTACGAAAATAACGCCATTCAAAATAATCAGTCGACTGTGGCTAAACTACAGCGAATGGGTGTTAGGGAAACACATAAACGGAACAGTTTGATTTGCAACAAAAGATATAACCAGATGTTTTATCTGTTAACACCAATTACCTTGCTGAGACATGCAAAATATATTGATCTATACCGATTGTAAGGTCACATGCAACGTAAAACACAACATTGCAGATTCTGATACCTTACAGGACCGCCTCCGTGGTGTAGTGGTTAGGGCGTCCGCCCGGAGAGGGGAAGGTCGTGGGTTCGATCCCCGACCGCGTCATACCAAAAGACGTTAAAATATGGTACTTGTTTGTCCCTACCTGGCGCTCGGCATTAATGGGTACAACAAGGACTGGTCGGCTCGGAGTCAGTATAATGTGTCTGAGTGGGGTATTCATGCTTCACTGCGGCATGGTATCTCAGTGGGCTAGCACTATAAAACCAGCTTACGTCTTGGCTAGTACAAGCAGCCGCACATACGCATACACACGCATGCACGTCGTCATATGAGCGAAATATTCTCAAGCACGACGTTAAACCCAATTTCACCTCACCTCACCTCACCTGATACTTTACAGTAACAAATGATCAAAAATGCAAATTCAACTTATAAAAAAACCCCGCGAAATCGATTTACTAAATTCACCCCAGCTGGGGTGGAAAATGGTTTCAACAGCTGTGCTGCGCTGCGCTGGACTGCGCTCAAGGCGCATGCGCAGTGAATAGGTTCGCGCAGCTTAGAAGCGGGATGCCCGAATTATAAAGTCGTGAGCAGGAGCAGTCTAATCTTGGTTGTGTACATAAAACAACAAACAGTAAATGATCTACTCGTTACATAAAAGAACCTTGTTAAGGATCTAGATCTACTCAGCTATGTGTCAACCAGTGAGCCGTTCGACATTTCAAGACGGAAAACCTTCGCTGGCGGTGAGTACTCGGAGTAAGCTTAATTTGACGTGAGCTATTTTTCTAACGTTTTGTTGATATTTCGCAGATGCAAGCTGGATTTTAATAATCTTTACAAGGCGGCGTAATTCGCTGTGCATACCTCCCTCGGTAGTGTCCGAAACCAATGATCGCGGGCTCGAGTCCCGGCACGACTTGATTATAATGTTGGATTTGTCAGCTTCATACCCGTGCGTGGTGCTTTCATCAAAACGTCTAAAAACTGCCTCACTTCGGGATTTTCTCCTACGTGAAGCCGTGGAATAGTCTAAAGCAGCGTAAAACCCATCTCACTCATTCTGGAATTTATCAAGATCTACACAGGCGTGAACCAGGGTTTACAGTTATTATATCCTAATAAATGATATTTCCTTTCAATAATATTTTGCAATATGTCCAACCAATAAGAGACACTGTATACAAGCAATTGAACTGTTCTCAATATCAACGCCAGGTATCGATAATACTCGGACATATGTTCATAAATAGGTTCCATTTGCTGATATAAATGGACACAGAATCTAAGCTTTATATCTACGTAAACTGACACCTTGTAATCACCACAAGTGCTCGATGAAAGCATACATTCTCCAGATACTTTAACGTGCCCGCTGTACGTGACTAACACTCTTGCGTGACATTGTCATAATCCTATCACCCAATCATCTCTGGCTAACACCATACAACAGTATTTCTCAGGCATTTACGATGTAATTTGATAAATGTTTAAATGATCAAGACGTGATTAAATAAGAAATGAATCAAACTTATCACAACGCTCGAAACGGATTTCGCTTTACCGGGAAGGAATGTTTACGATAGAGAGATATCTAAACTTTTCTTATTTTGAGTATAAACCGTCTATAAATAAGGACCGTCTTTAAGAAGATGAAAATATTCGGTTTTAGTATTCTGTATCAACATTTAAATTGTTTCAATAGTCTTGTTAAACAAAGAAGAAATTTAACATGACCAAAACTCACCTCCAGTAGGTATCAAGGAACGTTATTCAAAGAAATGGTAAAACACCCGTCTAAGAAACTCAAAAAACATCCATAGTCCCTGCTTCCTATCCAGTGTGGACTGATCAGATCCCGAAGCAGTTCTGCAGGTTTCCAGAACTGGTTTACTTGGGGTCACGTGGTGCGGCGTTAAACTGGGAATCCTCCCTCTATGACACCTACATCCGGGCTATCAGGCGTCAATCCCACTAGAGCTGTGAACGAGGTCACACCAGGTTCCGTAACTCACGCCATCTACAGACAAGTGCTAATTAATGTAAACAATTGATCAGTTGGTCTCTGAGTTTCTGTGGCGTGTTCCATTTGGCACTGATAATTATTTCTTCACATCGTCCTACAACGATAATCATCCGTGGAATAAGGTTAATAAGTTACAGTTGTTTTTTCACATGACTGAGAACTGTATTTGTGTTCTTGCACTGAAAACCCTCACAATATTTGTCTTTGCTTCACTTGCATTCACAAACTATTCCGCTGCAGTCTTAAGGGGGGAGTCTATTATGAATGAGCTGGGATAACAGCAAGCCAGTTACATCACGGCGCGTCAGCTTGAAGTGGGAGGAAAGTGAGTGAGTTTAGTTTTACGCCGCTTTTAGCAATATTCCAGCAAAATCGGGGGGACACCAGAAACGGGCTGGAAACTCGGCAGTGATACAGGCCTTGCCTGTGTACCACCTGATGAATACACGAGCACGGTTTTGGTGCTGACAACTTAGAAACATAATCGGCACGAAACAAGATTCCAATCCACGATCAGAGGATCCTGGCACGCCCAAGGGAGGTAACCCCGAACATGCGGCGAATTATGTCGCCATAGAACACTCGGCCACCTGGGTATGCTGTGAATGGTACTGCTCCTCTTCGATTTACAAATAGTGTTTCCTGAAAAGAAATCCTGAAAAAGGTTGGCGGTCGAAACAAAAAGGACACCTCTGAAACCTATTATCTTGAAGCTGAATAATCCAAATAGGAAATATGTTGACTCAGGTCTTGTTGGAACTTCCAAGGCGATTCTTTCCAAATCTTTCAATTTTTTATATTCTCATGATATTGAAATCTCTTGGCAGAAAACGTAGATGGCAAAATGGGATCGAATGATCAGAATATGGATAAGCCGTGCCGACTGTTGCTGTCACCCTAAGGGTGAATCACTGTTCACCGGTTTGCCTTGCCCAGACACAGGGTGACGTGATACAGCTTGAAGTTGGTTGACAGCTGCGTTGAACGAAATTCAACACACTCAAAGAAAAGCCCGAGCTTATTCAAAATAATCCTCTAAGAATAGCCGGTCTCAGACAAGATTGGCAGCTTAAAAGACTCCGTGTACAGCGTAGGGCTCATAGTCGTGTCCCCGCGAGGCCACACAGCGAGCGGACAAAACTCACTTCCTTTGTAGTTGACATCATACACAATCTTGTAACAGTAAATATATATCCGTGAAATCACATAGCACCCCAGCGGAGTCAGTCGACAATCCGGACTACTAAATCCTTTCTGTTTGACGCCGAATAAACCTACAGGGAATGAACGGCTTTAAAGGATAGGTAGAGCTTTGTTGTGATTTATTATCGTCAAATCTATCATAATATATTCACAACGTAATTCTCAGGCTTAACTCGGTTTTATCAACGATGTCTGCGTGGTACCATAATCTGGGGGTTGTACAGTGAGTGAGTTTAGTTTTACGCCGCTTTTAGCAATATTACAGCAATATCACGACGGGGGACACTAGAAATGGGTTTTACCCTTAGTACCCATGTGGGGAATCGAACCCGGGTCTTCGGCGTGACGATCGAACGCTTGAACCACTAGGCTACCCACCGCCCCGTGTGTTGTACAGAGGGACCATAACATCCAGTCGAGATTACCCATGCTGGAAGCCCCAGGGACGTCGTATAGGTGGTAGACGGTGCCGAAATCGTGATGAAGAGGGTCCGACTCAGCGAGGTTGTCCTAGAGGTACCCTTAGTCACAAGGGGGTGGTAAAATGAGGATTGGTTGTCACAATGCACTCATTTCCTTGAGGTGAGGGGAGAAAACTGATTATAGACGTACAGTCTTCACCCATGTCTAAACACAGACCTTAAACATAACATCTGCATATGTATGAAATGTTGATAGAAACAGGTAATTCCTTTTAAATTGAAAAGGCGCCCCAGTGACATGGGAGATGCAGAACATGAGGAAATCTAGACTTGCTTCATCTAGGGCTTAAGCATTGTGGAAAGAGCTGGGCGGTAGGGAAAATATTGTGGTTCAGGAACTGTGAGACAGATTAACCTGTGCCGAACGAGTAGGGAATAATGCACTCGACTATTAACAAGTCTACATTTTGTCCAATCGAAATCGTGTAGCGGAATCGAGGTCCGTCTCATGAAAAACATGACCGCCGTTGAGACTGCAGAGCATCTGTCCCGTCAGCTGAACGTCAACAAATGTTTCCCATTGTTTTCATGTATTTAATCAAAATGCTCAGATGATTTGGTTTACTTTGCGAGATAAGACCTGTTTCATCAAAATAAAGATGTTGATTGTCGATCAGATTGTCTTGCCTGGGCGCCGCATGTTTATTTGAAGCATATACAAGTAATATAAAGGTGGAATCGGACAGGTCAGTTGGAAGGACATGGAGGGGTTACAACTCATTACAGCCCTTAGTGGCTATTTCGAACTACGAAATTCGAAACTAGTTCGGCAATGGTGAAAACAGAACTTGATCAAATGTACAGATTCTGGTAATATGGTTGCATTGAGTCCCATCCGGGATTCGAACCTGTACCCTAAGAGTCAGGCACCCAATCGTCAGCACGTAAAGAAACAGAGCTTTTAAAGTCAGTTAACTCCCTTGCCTCAGAAAGACTTGACCTGACTCATTCGTCACCACTCGCCCCTTTCCGTAACCTGCAAGAAGATCGCTATTCGGCTTGTTCCGGAATAACACGAGTTGGTCACGAATGGACCTGACTCTGCGCCTGGCGTCGTATTTCGACAATCTGTATCAGTGCTCATGCCATCGACGGCTGGTTTGCTGCCCCGGACTCGGTGAAGAGGCTGATAAATAATGGGGTCTCGCTGATGGAGGTGACATTTACTTATTTGTAGAATGATAGAGATAGCATATCAGTGACTTCGGCGTGTTAAATACATATCGTCGTACCCTGATGGCGTGGGACGTTATTCACAATAGCAAGCACTGGATTGTACTGTCTAGACTCGATTACTTACTGACCGCCGTTACATAGCTGGAATACTGCTGGGTCACTATCCAGATGACTCGCGGCAATGTTTCGTCAAGCGACTGTTATTGCTATATCAGTATTGGAAGACGTAGTAGCCGTTCCGATACGACCGCTTGATGAGACGGACCCTAGACTGCCCAGCCTGGGCTGCGCACCCTGGACAGATACTGCTGTTTGGGTAGCCATTGACCACGCTGGTCGTCTATTTCACAAACTTGAGTGAAGACTTGGTTGAACAATAGCATAGGGCACCGTACAATGAGCAATGCCAAAAGATTGTTGAATCTTTGCGTTTAATACCCATGATGTATTGCTGACGTGAGCTGAAAGAGTATTCCATTACGATGTAGTCAGACCACGTGTTACTTAAGATCTTCAAGTCCTTGTGTACCGATCGATGACTATCTCTACATTTGAAGTCGTGTCGGACAATAATTCAACACCGTAAACTATCAACACAACGCATGCGCAATGTTATTTAGCCCTCGAATGCCGAGGATGAAAAGACCAGAGATGAAGTGTTCACATGTGCGTCTAAAGTGCACACTCCCTGATCCCCCTCCCTCCCTTCATCCATCTATATTAGGAGTGGCGGGATAGCCTAGTGCTAATATATATGACATTATCTTGTGACGCCGAAGGCCCGAGTTCTATTCATAACGTGGAAACAATGAGTAAAGCCTATTTCAGGAGGAACCCTTATCGCCTTGATATTGCTTGAATTTTGATAAAGCGGCTCAAAACCAATCTCGCTCTTATTTTGCATCATCATGTTGCATGTATTCTTTGGTATATTCCGAATAATTAATTAAATAAAACAAATCTCACCTTAACTGGGGTTTTTCCGTGTGTCACGACATTCCCGTAAGCCCGTGTTCGTAGACGACATCAGGGTATGTGGCTCACCCGAACATAACCCTGTTATAACACCCTCAACACAATCGATCGTTTACCCAGAGAAATCGATTTGCGTAATGATTGATTGCAGTCATTCGGACCACACCACACGGGCCTCAGACAACACGGGTCATCGAACTTTATAACAAACCGCGCTAATGCTGGCATCCAATATAGTAACTGGAGATCTGATTAATTCAGATTTACGTTGAGCAAAATGATGAATCGTCAACGACGTGAACGGTGCGGGTATTCCGTGACGTTCCAGCGCCGTTACTGGTAGCTGTGTTACGACTGGGAACGCTAAGACATGTACGTGTTGTAGACGGGGGTCTTTATGTAATAATCCAGGGTAGGTATTGGCTTATAGTCGACCCCCCTGCTGTGTGCATGACACTTACAAGGTCTTACAAACAACGCATATGGACCTGGAGCCAGGGACCCGTTCTATAAAGCTATCTATGTCGATGGTAACTCCATGCATTAACTTAGACTTACGACAATCGGGCCCTACTCCACAAAGCGATATTAGCGCTTAGACGGTCGTAATTCCCTCTATCTCAGCATAGCTTTACGAAAATGGTAGCTCTTAAATGAACAGCGGACCATTCGACTAAGCGACCTCGGCGCTAAGACGGTCGTACATTTAATACATAAACCTGATAGATAGCTCTGGGGAATGTGGCCGGTTGTACAAAGCAACCTTAGCCCTACGACTGATCTGAGGTATGAAAGTAATCGCATCTTAGCACTAAAACCTCTTTGTAAAACGGCACCCATGGCGTAAAACAACGTGAGACCACCCTTGATTACTACGTAAGGTGAAACTGGTTTAGAGTCTTCTTCAAGTTTATGGGCGAGTGAGTGAGTGAGTTTAGTTTTACCCCGCTTTTAGCAATACATGTATTTCAGCAACATCATAGGGACACCACAAGTACCAATATTGGGAATCGATTTCGAGTTTATGACAAGTATAATAGCTACTGATTGCCAGTCGACCAGGCAGGGTATCACGTATACCACGTTTAACGACTTCTGGTATGACGCTGCCGGGGATCGAACAATCCTACTGCCCTCCGGGCAGCAACTCTAGCCACTGTGCCAAGAGGCGGTCACTTACTTGGAAACTAGGAGTGATTGGGTGAGTATGGTTTTACGCCACTTTTAGCAATATTCCAGCAATATCACGACTGGTGTCACCAGAAATGGACTTCACACTTTGTACCCATGTGGGGAATCGAACCCGGGTCTTCTGCGTGACGAGCGAACGCTTTAA